CGGATCCCGTGTCGGATCGGGTCTATGCGGTAAGCGGATCCATGTGGGATCGGGTCTCTGCGGTAAGTGGATCCCGTGTCAGATCGGGTCTCTGCGTCGGATCGGGTCTCTGCGGTAAGCGGATCCCGTGTCAGATCGGGTCTCTGCGGTAAGCAGATCCCTTGTCGGATCGGGTCTCTGCGGTAAGCAGATCCCTTGTCGGATCGGGTCTCTGCGGTAAGCGGATCCCGTGTCGGATCGGGTCTCTGCGGTAAGCGGATCCATGTGCGGCCCTCTGGTCGCTGGCACGCTGCGCAGGGTGTGGGTCTGATGACTTGAACACTCTGGTATCTTTTTATTGTCTGCCGTTAAAGCTGGAAAACAATCGCCTCCCTCGGCTGCGTGTGTTTGGGAGAATCGGGTTCTTGTCGCTTTTTCCCACAGAATGACCGTATTTTTCTGGTTTTTGCTTCCCAGCCGTCGGTTGCTGCCCCGTCGGTCGTTTCCCATGCAATGGACTCGCTCCATCCACTGAGATGCTGCACTGCAGCTTTTGACCGTAAACTGAAGGAATGTGGACTTATGGGAAACGTGCTCTCAGAGGACCGGCCTGATCAGACACGGCCTCATACGGACAGACGGAGGGAGTTTCCATCGAATAGGCCGGAGCAGAAAGAAGATCAGCAGACAGGAACATCTTCCTTCCTTCCAGACAGCAGAAACACATTTACACTTTGTTGGTTTGTGAAAAACAAAACGAGTTGCTGCAGCATCTAAAGCTGAAACATTTTAGCTACAAGTGATTTAATTGTTTTTCCTTCTGTTGCTGATATAATTCAGATGTTGAAACTGAGGCAGAAATTCAGACTAAATGCCTGATAAATGCAGGATTACATTTTTTAGAGTTCTGCTCTCTCCTGAAGCTGGTCAGTTAGTCAGGCTGTCTGCTCCAGTAGAGCCCATAGTCAGCCATTAGCAGTTTAACAGCTGAGTGATGGGTGCACTGTAAAAACTGACTGCCTCTGTTGGTTAAACAAACATATTTTATCTCGTAAATTCCACTTTATATGTAAGACAAAGAATTGGTGGCAATTCGACTTTACAAGAGTAAAGTCGAAATAATACGATAATAATGTGAGAAGTTATGATATTGCTGGAATAAAGTTGAAATAATGAGGATAAAGTCGCAAAAATTAGCATATCCATGAGTAGCTGTTAGCTGCTAGCTTTAGTATAAATAGACTGTAGTCTTTTTATTAGCTTGACTGATTAACTTTACTTTGGGTTGCTGTTAATCTCTTTATAGATATTAGCTTGACTCTGATTAGCTGCTAGCTTGACTCTGATTAGCTGCTAGCTTTGCAATGAGTAATTTGTCTTTTAGTAGCTGTTAGCTTGAGCCTTGTTAGTATGACCAAACACTTTTTCTGTATTTTTTTCTACTGGGTCCAAATGGAAGCTGTCGCGATATTATTATGCTTTTTTAATTAATTGTCCCCTTACCCTCAGTGACATCTGTATTCATAAAGTTAAATCAATAACACTGTAAGCTTTATGGAAATAGGCAGAACTTGGATTCCTTTCGCCATCCAGAGACTTCCTGGTTCCTGGTTGCCTCCTGTGGGAGAAGCTGCTAGCTTTGCAGCTGCTAGCTAGTGATAGTGGGACACCGATAAGGACGGCAGGGATCTGGCAGCAGGTGAGAAGACGGCAGATGTTGAACAGGCCTTGGATAACGCTGTGCATGCGAGCAGACGTCATGGGTGATGTCATCTCCTGTGTCTAGTGTACACGGCTACCCACCCAGGTGAAACTCTCTGAGGGACTCCAGATAAAACGGGCCACCCACAGTTCACGTGGCTCGCGCAGATCAATGTTGTTGTTCTTCAGTGGAGGTCAGACTTTCAGCTTTCAGCTGCGGCTAGGGAACAAAAACTATGACATAGTGGAATAAAACAAAGATGTTCTGCTCAGATGAGACCAAACACTACGTGGAGGAAAACAAACATCGTACCCTGAACTCACCACCGTGGTGGCAGCAGGTTTCAGCAAGTCAAATTTAACACCTTTTTAATGCAACACTGAATCAAATTTAAGACGGAAAAACTATGGATCTAGTGAATATAAATATAGAAGTAGCTGCTAATTTATGTGGCTAGCTAGCATGTTAGCAGCTACTGAACAGTAGCTTCAACCGCCTCGAGTTACAGAACGCAACGAAGATGTTTGTACATTTCACAAACGTCCCACAACAACAACAAACACCACAAATACCAGAATATACCAGATTAATAGCCCTGAAACGACAATATTTAAAACCTGTGATTAACATATGTAAGGCTGACTATTTAAATTAATTTAAGAGGGTTTACACACCTCACAGTCCGGGAGACCTGATTCGATTTTGGTCAATCAGCTGTTGTTCCCCTGTTCAGCTGTTGTTCCCCTCCTGTCCTGTGGGGGCGCTGGACCAAGAACCACTGAAGGAAACGACACAAAGACCTCTTAAGACACTGAGCACAACTTCCTATTTCGCGAGCAACAAGCACCCAGCTTAGCAGTGGAGCAGTTAGCTTGTCTTCTGATATTTTGACGCCTACTGGCCACTCGCTGGACTCTGATTAGCTGCTAGTTTTACTATGAGTAGCAGCTAACAGCTACGCTTGTATCTTGTAGCTTCTAATTAGCAAGTAGTTAGCAACTTTAATCAGCCGCTAGTTTTACTATGAGTTGTAGCAGCTTCTCAGTAGCTGTTAGCTAAGCTCTGCTTAACTTAGCTTTACTCTTTAACAAAATTAAAATAAATGTTCAAAGTTTATGTTCAGTGGGGTTGAACATAAGAAAATGCATATTTTTAAAAATGAAACACTTTCTAGTTTAACTGTGATGGAAAGCAGATGTTTCCGTTCATGGAGTCACCAGAGACTCCGGCTCATCCTGACTGGTTTGACCAACAGAAAATGAAACTGAGCTGGATGAGAAAATGACTGTTTTGAAAAATGGATCTAATTTTATTAAATAAATTGACGTTAGGCCAATTAGAAGAACCGATCCGCAGCGTTTGCGTTGGGAAAGCCTTCTCTTGACGTCCGGTAGACGGGACTCAAACCAAGATTGGCCAAGAAACAGCTGGGGAACTTGGCAGGGCGGGCGCCGCCGTGTGTTTGTGAACATTTTCGTTGTGTATTTCCATTCATGCATGACGGAGCAGCTGACCTTCTAATGGCTGTTTCCAATTTGCAGATCACAGCTATGCTGTTCAGCCTCTGTCCCTCCCTCCCTGCTGGAGAAAGGCTCTTGTAACGCCGCGCAGCGACCTGGAGGTCAGATCCATCTGCGGTGCATTGTTGGACTAATGACCCCCCGCTCGCCTTCGCGTTTATTCCTCTGCATTCGCCCTGCTGCAGCCAGAGAATTTTGATTTGTTACCCAAACAATGCAAATTGGAGGTTGCTTGCTGCCAAGAATTATAGGTTGAGGAATCTCTCGTTGGCTTGTGTTGTTGGTTTCAGTAGAAACTGTTGTTATGTGGGGATGTAGCAGCAGATAGAGGAGCAGCATCGTCGTTTGAAATGAAAACCAGCTGGCGGCCGTCACATCCATGCTTGGCCCCTCCATACGCTGAACACGATATGGTGAGTGAGTGAACAAGGCCTCGCTCATAAAACCCAGCAGCAGATGTTCATCAGGTCACTGTGTTAAGATAGCAACAGCTAGCACCGAATGATATCAGCAAAGTACTCCTCTCTGCTCTTCAGGAGGTTCATATGTTTATGCCGTATTGTTGGAGAAAAAAAGTTGCATTAATTGCATATTTTATTCAGTTTCAGGTTCACCTATAACTCGCTGTTCATTAGAGTTTTCACTCCAGATAGACTCAGTTTGATTGGGGACCAAAGTTGCAACATTTGTTACACTGTGATTTTCTTTCTCTTTCACCTCCCTGCCTCTGGGGGCGCTGCACTGAAAGCCATTGAAGCAAATGGCACAAAATCCTCCAAAGAAGACCGAGTGCAACTTCCTACTTCACAAAATGCAAACAAAACTGGAGTCACATTTCATCAGTTAGAGGATTTCTCTTTTGTCTTTGATATGGGCTCAGGGTGCAGATTTTCCACCATTTTGTTTCTGTTTGCAGAGTGTGAGAGCTAATACCCTGTGATTTAAAAGTGTTCAAATGTTTATCATTGGATTTGCTTACATTGCTATTAAAGTTTTTATTATTTTTTCAGATTGAGGAAATTGTTTCCCCTTGACTCTGAACATCTATTAGCTTGTCTCTGATTAGCTGCTAGCTTGACTATGATTTTCTGTTAACTTCTCTCTGTTAAGCTGCTAGCTTTACTTGATTAGCTGTTAGCTTTTGTCTGAATATTTATTATGAGTCCCCTGTAGTTTGTCTCTCAGTAGCCTGCATTTATGTGTTAGCTTTACATTAGCTTGATGCTTTTTCCTGCTTCTGATCGTATTTAGTTGAATTTACACAGATTAGCCTGTAAAGTAGATGTTTCGCCTTGGAGCCCCAGTTGGTCCAACCAACCTCCAGAGCTCAGCCTTTAGAAGTGAAGGCCGTAAACACGCATGATTTACAGCGCCTGCCTCGGTTCAGGTTCGGCAACTGAATGCTAATGATGTGTGGCTTTTTAAAAAGCAGCAGACCGGCCAAAAATATGAGCTGTTTTCAGGAAGCATTCGTTGTTGTTTCTTCTTCCCTGGTGTCCCTTTGATTTCTCAACCCAATTCGCTGCAGGAGCTTCTTATTTTGAGTGACCCACACGATGCCTGCAGTTATTATCCAACAGTTTCCTCAGATTACACTGTTTTATATAATGTGCCTGTTTTTTTCAATTATGGCATGTTTTGTTTGTTTTTGATCATGTAAATATTGATTTACATTGTTTATTTTTTGACATTTGTATTCCTCCTGGCTAAAGTTACATAAATTGAAGTTTAGTCTAGGTAGAAGATCAGTGAAGCAGCTTTTCTGAGGGGTTTTAATTGTTTGTTGTTTCCTGTTTCAGACCTGAAGCTGGTGAATCATCGTTAGCTGACATGGCTGAGAGGAAATTAGACGGCTTCAGATGGAGCTGGATGGTCGCACTCATTCTTCTGTGCAACCTAAAAACAGTAAGACAACATAAAACATGGTCTAGGAATTAGATGTTATCCTGCTTTATCCACTCATGTTAGCATATTAGTCTATCACTAGCATGTTGACTAATATAGAATAACTATTCAATATGGAAACAGCAACACATAAGCAAAAATTAGCTAACAGACTAATTCTCCAAATTAAGCTAATGTCAGCTTGGTGTCATGGTTGAATGGGGCACCATGCTAAAATACACTAGCTCTAACTAGCATATGTATTATACAAATAAAAATAACTAGCACAGATTAACTCAGTTCTGTATGTTAAACTTAGTATTCGTATACAAAATGGTTAAAACGCTACTGTATCAAGCTAACACTGGTTGGTGGGCTATCGCTAGCATGCGGGCTATCACTAGCATGTTGACAAACAGAATAACTCCATTTAGTTTGTCAACAGCAATGTATAAGCAAGAAATAGTTAAAAGGCTAATTTTACCTATTAAGCTAACATTGGCTTATATGCTATTATGCTAACTAACATAGAATAACACTAACAACTTCAAAGAAAATTAACTAACATAGACTGACTCCATTTAAGTTAAATTTAGCTATCATATCAAAATGTGCTTATATACTATTGTAACTATCAAGCTAACATTAGCATGCAGGCTATCATGCAACAGTTCTCCATGTTGGATCTTCACTGGGTTTTTAAACTTTGACATTCCAGCTAAATGTTGTCCAACCCACTGAGTGCTGTAAAATAGTTTCCTGTTAAAGACCAGAGAATGACTTCCCGCTGCACTCAGTCATCAGTAACTAGTGGCTAACAGAGTTTGGTCCGGTCAGACGCTCCTGACTCTTCAGTTTTGACACTGTGTGGATTATTTGTTTTGCTCGTAACCTTGTATTTTCAGTTCCTGGTGAGGGCCAGCATGGAAGTGAATGAAAGCCAGCAGCAGCATCCCAACAACGTCTACCACGAATTTGGGATCACCAGGAACAAGATCGTCACGGCGCAGTTCGAGTGCTACCAGAAGATCATGAAGGACAACGCAAACGGCAGACATGGTAGCCTTCAGATTTCCCCTTACCTAGCAACTGAAGCAGAGCTCCAACATGTTTGGTCAGCTGGTTCTACAGCTGTACAATGGCTGCTGGAAAAGACAAGAAATTATATTAGTTGTTGACTTACTATCCAGAAAACACTTGCTGTATTCTTGTTGGTTGTGCAGGAGGCTCTACTAATGCCTTTCAAACATGTACGGTTGTATAATTGTAAACGTTGAGTTGGAGGGGGCGTGGCCAGCAGCAGCTTATTTAGATTTAAAGGGACAAGAGGTCCTAAAAAAAACCTAATTAGGCAAAACTGAGCAGATTAAAATTTTAATTTTGTGCAGAAAATGCAATGAACATGTTTTGTGTAGGCCATTGACGTATCTTCACCTGTCAAAGAAAGTGTAATAGGTCACTCTTAACGTATCTACTGCTAACATCTTGGAGGTCAAGTCCTGCTGGCTGTTTTGGTTGCAAAAGGTGATAATTTTATGTCTGATTGGTGGATTGTACTTTAAAAACTCGCCCGTTGAAGCATCTCTGTGGTTTTAGAGCCCATGTGTAATCGGACCTGGGATGGATGGCTGTGCTGGGATGACACTCAAGCCGGAGTCACGTCGGAGCAGCACTGCCCGGACTACTTCCAGGATTTTGATCCTTCTGGTGAGGAAAACAACAAACTAAACATTTCTGTCAGTTTCCTTTATCGTGTGGTGACAGTGGGAAGTAATCCTTCTCTTTTAACGGGAAAAACCGTGCTTTTTTTAAAACGTTTTTTGTCTTTCAGAAATGGTGACAAAGATTTGCACCGACAGCGGTCAGTGGTTTGTTCATCCTGAGAGCAACCGGACCTGGACCAACTACACGCGCTGCAACGAACACACGAACGAAGGAATCATGGTGCGTGACTTTACCGGAAAGGAATGACAAAATGATGCTGAAAAGGTCACACATTCAGAGAGAACAACATTATTGGGGCTTGTAGCTCACAATATTTCCATGTTCAAAATTTAAAAATACATGTAAAAAAAAACATTAAAAACAAAAACAAACTGCAAGTACAAGGCAGTGGAAAGCCTCGTCTGCTGGTAATGTATTAGGAATGAGCGCTAACGTCAAGAACTGCAATTTAAACTCAAAGATCCTGAGTTTAAATTCACATACATGTAATTTCTGTCCCAGTTCAGACCGGCGTCGTTACTCTGACGCCCACAGGCTTCAGCGCCCTGAGTATTTTTCCAAACATTTCTGTTGACAGAATATCAGGGAGCTGTGCAGCTGTCCAAGTCCAATCTAATCAGCTGTGGTTTCTCAGTGCCATCGCTGTAACAACTCGATTATGCCACTATTTTTAGTTGACATTTTGCTAGCTAGCTAGCAAGGATGTATTAGCATCCGTCAGGGGACAGGTTGTAGTTTGTAGTCTTCTTAAAAGGATCTTAAATTTGAGGAAACCCTGCCGGGCCTCCAGCAGGTTCACCAGCCGTGTTTAGTCGCTTTGATCAAACTCCAGTTCACTTGTGTAGAAAGTTCGGTTTGTTTGGTGAGTTGAGCGCTAATCGAACTCTGGTCTGATACAAACTTCAGTCTGGGTTCTGTTGAACTGAACTCTTAGTGGTTTGTATGTATATGTAAACGCCAAGCGGATTGGAGACCCTCCATAGTCAGGAGGTGGACCACAGCGCAGGGAATTCTGGGTAAATACCACCAAAACAAACGTGCTAGCCTAGCGCTAATGGGAGAAATGGCCCATGGTCTTTAGCCAAATACTAAAGAGAAATCCTCCAACAGTTAATATCTGACAACACTTTATTTTATGTTTACGTTTTGAGAAGAAGGAAGTTGCTCTCAGTGTCTTCAGAGGTTTTTGTGTCGTTTCCTTCAGTGGTTCTTGGTGCAGCGCCCCCACAGGCCAGGAGGAGAACAGGTTTCTCAAAGGGTTTGGTTGGTTTGACTCACAGCAGAAAGACAGAGAACCACAGCAGCTGGAGATGGAACAGATGATGAAGTTTTGGGTCCAACTGAACCGAGTCTACTTGACTATCGGGTGTGAAAACTTCCAAAACTGTTACAACAAAACGATTTCACCAAGTAACAAAAAAAGAAAATCAGTAAATATGAGCCACTGTGGAATAAGGCTCCCAGAACGAGAAGTGTGCACACACCTCCAGATTGCACCTTGGCTGGTTGATGAACAAGGAAGTGTTTGAAATTATGAAGTTGCACCTCATGGAGATTTTTTGACCCAATTTGTCTTCTGCTTCTTTCCAGACCGCAATGAATCATTTCTACTTGACCCTCATTGGACATGGACTCTCCCTGGTGTCCCTCTTCATCTCACTGGCTATTTTCTTCCATTTCAAGTAAGTTCCTAACACCAACCTGCTCCAAGTTTAGGTTTTATTCATTGATTCTCTTCTGAGTGGGTGAAAACATCTGGCTTTTCTTGCAGAAGTCTGAGTTGCCAGAGGATTACTCTTCACAAGAACCTTTTCTTCTCTTTTGTCCTGAACTCTGTCATCACTATCATTTGGCTAACTGCAGTGGCTAACAACCGGGAGCTGGTGCAAAGAAATCCAGTAAGTTCATTGTTTGGTTCAAATCCATCCAGTTTATTTCTGGTGTTTCAGTTTGAACTACTGCAAAAAAGCTGAAAGAATTTCAGGAACTACACAGACTGCAGTCAAAATCTCCCAAATTAACCCTGTTCACAACTCTAACTGCTGACAGCTCTCCTATGCTAGCTCTGCTAACCATGCTAATGTCGTTTAATATGCTAACTGCATCAACCGTGTTGGGTTTCCTAGTTACACTAAACATTGACGCTAACTGCCTCAACTGTTTACAATGCTAACTGCATTAATCATGCTAACTGTTCCAGATATGCTAACTATGCTAATAATGTTATGCATCCTAGCTAAACAAACCATCCTAACTGTGCTGAATATGTTGAATGCGCATTACTCGAAGTAAGACATAAAATTAATCTCTTTAAACTAAAATTAACTATATATTTGTTTTGTCTGGTTAAAACATTAAAACAAGAAATTTTCTTGTTAAAATAAGAATGTTTCTTGTTTTTATGTGATATAAAACTCATCTAATTCTCATTTTAACAAGACAGTTTCCAGTTAAAACGAGAAACAGAATTTATTTCCAGTCTTTGGCAGTTATACTTTTCCATTAAACATTCAGTTATGAATGTTTTATTTCCTTTCCAACCAGAGTAACAGCTGATTATTGTCTGTTTTTAACATGTGTGACTTAGTAAAGAAACTGCTGGTATGTTTTTCTGCACCCATCATGTCTGATGTTTTTACATTACTGCTTCGTGTTTCTGTAGATGAGCTGTAAAGTGTCCCAGTTTATCCACCTTTACCTGTTTGGCTGTAATTACTTCTGGATGCTGTGTGAGGGGATTTACCTTCACACGCTCATCGTGGTGGCCGTGTTCGCCGAGAAGCAGCACCTCATGTGGTATTATCTGCTCGGCTGGGGTAAGTGGCGAAAAAATCCACTAAAACTCACCAGAGCAGCGCACAGCTCCCAAAAATATCACTCACATAAAAGTAAAGAATGTTTAGTAAAAAGTCTACTCACAAGGGTGTAAAGAAAATGGATGGATGGATGGATGGATGGATGGATGGATGGATGGATGGATGGATGGATGGATGGATGGATGGATGGATGGATGGATGGACATCATCAGACCATCCAAAATAGAGGAAATTTTGGCATTTTAGGGACTGAAATGACAGTAATTCATATAAATAACAAAAATAAAATAAAAAAATCAGGCAAAAGAAAAATTTTCCAAATCAGTTTCTTTCAAAACAAAACTTGTGAAAAGTTAATAGAAACTGCAGGTGTGTGTCTGTGTCTGGTGGATTTTCGGTTAAAACATGTTTGTTTTTCATCCAGTGGGTAGAAAATACATACATTTTACTCCAGTAAGAGTAGAAATATTTCATGATAAAATTACTTGAGTAAAAGTAAAAAGTAAAGCACAGTAAAAATACTCAAGATTTAATTACACCATTGATTTACTCAAACTCCAGTCTGTTTGTCTATTGTGAAGATCCGAATTCGTAATTTAACCAAAAAACAACAAAAAACTCCGGTCCTAAAAAAACTCTGCCTCGGTTTGGGTTAGAATGATATGAACACTAAGCAGACCAGAGACCGCTCCAAAAGCAGGAAGTGGACTACAGCGCAGGGCATTCTGGGTAATATATTAAATAAACAGCGCTGCTCTGTTGCCGTGGCAACGGGTCAGCTGGGTGAGGACAAGCAGAATATAACTGGTTTAAAGTTGTTCTTCACCTTGTTTATCAGTTTATTTTCTCTTTGCTGTGGCGCAGCCGCTATAATTTTTAAATAAATGATAAATGTAAAATTAAATTACTGATCAATATAAAAGATACATTTGCTTAGTCCCGTTTTTCAGCTTGACAGAAACCCAACTGTTTATTGATTTATATATGTATTTTACACTCGGCAGTTTTCTTGGCTTTAATTTAAGCCGTGGCCATATAAGCCGTATAATTTAATTTTAATGAAATCGAGTAAGAAATGAGGCGCTACGATCATTTAGTTCAGGTTCCTGCTCGGGCCGCGTTGGAAGCTTCTGGTTTTGCGGACATGACTCAGTGACTCGCAGTAATGGCGGCTGCAGGAGCGACGCTAGCGTTAGCGGCTAACAGGCGACATCCAAACCAGTAAATAATCAGTGGGGAAATCCTACAACCGCTAAAATCTGACTGTACTCCATTGTTGTTTCTCTTTTGTACGAAGGAAGTTGCGTTCAGTGTCTTCAGCGGTTCTTGAGTTGGTTTAGAGAACCGCCGCAGCTCGAACTGTTACAAATGTTGTAATTTTGGTCCATAATTAAACCGAGTCCGCCGGACTGTCAGATGTGGAAAAAACCCGACAAGTAAATAAAAATAAAATGAAAGAAAGTTGCTCTAGTAAATGTAACTAGTTAGTTTCAGAATAACAGCAACTAAAGCTTAATTTTATTTTTTAGGCTTTCCTCTGATTCCTGCGTCCATACACGCCATCGCTCGGACCTACTACTACAACGATAAGTGAGCCTCAGATAGTAAAATGTTCTGTCTGTTTTTGTGCCGGACGTTGTTGCCTAAACTTCTCCTCTGTTCGCTCCTGCAGCTGCTGGATCAGCTCCAAAACGTCGCTGCTCTACATCATCCACGGCCCCATATGTGCAGCTCTGCTGGTAAGATGAAGTCAGCGTGTCGGCTGATCCGCTCCGGGTTTCTGTTGCACAATGGTTCTGGTTCTGGCCTCTGCTGTGTTTAGGGGGGTTAATTGTGTTTGTCTTGTGAAATCGATTCATCTGCCCTCCCAGGCTTGTTCTGTTTTGTAGGAATCTATCAGAGCAACGGGACGAGTTCCAGTTCCATTTCATTTTTCAACTCTGAAACTTTTGCTGCTTGTTTTTCTGAGTAAAACATCACACAGATCTAAACTATCTTATTGTTTACATCTGGGAATTTGGATGCAGGGAGGAAGTAATCCCATCTAAACCAGGGGTGCCTAAAGTGCGGCGCATGGGCCATTTCTGGCCCCTGGGTTAGTTTTGTGAGGCCCAAATTTGGCTCTCTGACACTTTTTGTAATATTTTAGGATGGGATTTTCCATGGAAAGGTTAAATCTTCTTAAACGGAAGATGTTAAGTACAAGACAAAGATTTTTTTCTTTAGCCTTTTTTAATCTCCTGATAAGTAATATCACAAACATTTAACAAGATTTTACTCAAAACAAAAACAAACTTGGTCACACCCATTCATTATATTTGGCCAAAAACAGAAAAGTTTGTGGAAGAAAATTTTTATTTTTGTTTCTGGAAAAAATATAAACTTAAAAATTGTAACATAATAATAAAAGTAAAATATTACATCTTTTATTTATTGTTGTGTAGGTAAAAGAAATAATTCACAATATTTAAAAATATTTTTGTAATTGGGGGAAACGATAAAGATTTGGCCCGTTAAACTTTGGAGCAGACAGTTTGGACAGCGCAGAGTTAAATCCATAGACACTAAAACGAGGTTTTACAGAGCAGTTTTAAAGAGACGGAGTACTTTATAAAACACTCTGAACTTGTTTCTGTTCTGTCCTTCCGGCTACAGCGAACACATTTAGGTCACCTAACCTGAAAACAGAGCTGCGCTTTGCTAACGAGCAGCAGAGTCAGCCAGCAGCCTGATGAGGAGTATTTGTGTTCCTCCAGGTGAACCTGTTCTTTCTGCTGAACATCGTCCGGGTTCTGATCACCAAGCTGAAGGTGACGCACCAGGCCGAGTCCAGTCTGTACATGAAGGCGGTCAGAGCCACGCTCATCCTGGTTCCTCTGCTGGGGATCGAGTTCGTCCTGCTGCCCTACAAACCCGAAGGACGCGTCTCCTCCGAAATATACGACTACATTATGCACATACTGATGCACTACCAGGTGAGACGGGCCAGACTCATCTGATTTATTATTAAATAAAACTCATTCATCTCTTTTCTGTCATAAAATAGGATAATAATAATTACTATTATTATTATTTCACTTAAATAAAGTGATGTTTCCTGTCTATTCCTACAAAGGAGAATTAGGACAAAACTAAGGAAAAAATAATAATTATGAAAATAAAAAAAGTCAATATGACGAGAAAAAATTGAGAACTACAAGAATAAAGTCAAAATAATATGACAAAAAGTCATGCTATTGAAAATAGTCTCAATAATACGAGAACATTACGTAACACGCGTGTAAAGTTGTAATGACAGAATAGTCAAAATATGAGAAAAAAGTCGTACGACAAAAAGTCTTGAGAATAAATTTGTAATAATACAAGAAAAAATCCATAATAAAAATGAGAGAAATCGCACGAAGTCAAACTATAGCATCTCAAAATAAAACGAGAATAGTCGGACGGCAAAAAGTTATATTGAAAATAGTCATAATGATACAAGAAAAAGTCATAAAATGAAAATAAAGTTGTGTGAGAAAAATTCCTATTATGAGAAAAAAAACTCGTATTGATATGAGAATAATGGAGGTAATCATAATAATGTGAGAATGTCAAACTGTAGTAAAAACACGAGAATAACATCATAATATGAGAAAACTACAACAAAAAGATATATTATGAAAATAAACTCGTAAAAATACAAGAAAAAAGTCGTAATGATACGAGAAAACAATTTTCCAAAAATGAATCTGAGAAAAACGTCAGAATGAGGCCAGAATAAAGTGTAATATTAGGAAGTAATAACTTTATAAATCCCTCACAAAAGAAATCAAAATGAGAAACGCTGAGCATCTTGTGACGTTACACTTTGGTATCAGTTTTACAAATTAAAAAATTCTTCACCTGCCAACAAATCAAATTATCATCAGTAGCAGGATGTTAAAACAGTCGAGCCTAATTTAAAAATAATTTTATCAAAGATTTGTTCTCATTAAAACAACTTTTTTCCAAGTAATTTACTATTTTTTTCTGGTATTTTTGTGTCCCTATTTTGCTAATATTATAACTTCATAATTGCAATTTCAGACAAAAATAAAAGCCTCTGTTGGTGGCAGCTTCCCCTTTAAGAGGTTTGTTTACGTTGCATCCCAGGGAGGAACAACAGGAAGGAAGGCGGGAATTATCTGAAAGCTGTTGGATGTTGATGAGGCATTATCTGATCGCTTCTCCCAGCAGGAAAATATCTCTCGCAATAGGAAGAGCCAATCCCTCCCTCCCAGAATGCATCTGTCTCAAATCCTGATGCTTTCTACTTTCAGCAGCTTGAACTGTTCCCTTACAAAGAGCCTAACTCATGTTTTTCTCATTCCAGGGTCTGCTTGTGGCAACCATCTTCTGCTTCTTCAACGGAGAAGTAAGAACTTACAGCAACTCTACCTTTAGCTTCAGCTAAGTTCTTTAGCATATTAACTCAAATCAGAGATCTGACCCAAAAACCCGATGGTCTGGAAGACTTTGTAACATTTGTTACATTTTCAGCGAACCATTAGAAAAACCTGTTCCCCTGCTGGCCTGTGGGGGCGCTGCACCAAGAACAGCTGAAGGAAACAACACGAAAACATAACTAGCACCTAGCTTTATTACGTAGCTGTTAGCTTGACCTCTGTTAGCGATTAGCTGACCCTGATTAGCTGCTAGCTTTAATATGAGCAGCAGGTTGTTTGTTTTGAAAAGTAAACAAAAATGGAGTAGAATCAGATTTTAGTGGTTGGAGGATTTCTCTTTTGTTTTTGGTGAAGACCACGAGCCGCGGCTAACGCTAGCAGAGCCGACATTTTCAATGGAGATAACCAGAGGAAAGACGGTGAAGTCGTTGATTTAATTAGTATTTTGGGTCATATTGCTCAACAACTTTAAAATTTATAACGGACAGTTACGCATGTCTACCAAGATGGCTGCCAGCTACAAATTCCTGGTGATGTCACATGAGAACTATGTATTGTTTTAAATAAATGCTCCATTTGTTTACGTTGCCTTTTCCTCTGGTCAGCCGTTTAAACAGGATCTCTAGACTGTTTGATGAGAAAAATGGGTTTCTGAATCAAAATCAAATCATTAAACAATGAAAGATTCTCTAGACATTAAAATGTCCATCATTTTTCTTTGTTTCTGAAGAACCAAACCCAGCCTGGCGTTAACTCCTCCAGGCTGGATAAACGTGCAGCTTTGTTGTTTTCCTAGTTAAAGGATGTGATTTGGAACCAAGTACAGATCATATATTTGACATTGTTTTCTGGCTTTGGTTTTGCATTTTTCACACGTTGATAAAAACATTTAATGAGTAAACTCTGCCGTCTAAACCGTTTTCAGGTCCAGGCGGTTCTGAGGCGGCACTGGAACCAGCACCACATCCAGTTCGGCAGCAGCATCGGGAACCACTCGGACGCCCTGCGCTCGGCCTCCTACACGGCCTCCTCCATCATCGAGGTGCAGGGCTGCTACTCCATCGATGGCCACACGGAGCACATGAACGGGAAGAGCTTCCACGACACGGACGTCTCCGTCCTGAAGTCGGACAGCACCTTCGCCTGACGCCCGGCTGCGCCCGCAGGAACGGCGCCGAGGAGCGGATCCAGCCTGGCTACGGAAACGCTCGCTCGTCTAGGCGAGGTGAGCGCGGCGCCGCTTCTCCGTCCTCCGCTCTGTTGACGGGTTCTGACATTCTAGCCATTCTTAGTGACTGCTGGATCATTGTCTTGGCGTCACGATGTGGACAGAAGCCGTTCGGTTTCACTGTAAGAAAACGCAAACTGTGCCAAACCCAACTCTCCGTTTGTTGTGTCCAAGTACTGGAGATGCATAGATTACAATCCAACGAAGCTGCGCCATCATCTTGTTTCTATGACAACGCATTAGGACCGCTGCAGACAGAAAAAGGCAATACATTTCTGAAAAAGAAAAAAAAAACTCAAATTTTGAGACTAATGTCAGATTTTTTTGGAAAAAATAAGAAAATCCCCTGAGCTCAAAAAGTTTAAAATTTGCAAAGAAACAAAAAAGTCGAAAATTTTCAATTTTACAAGCTCAGAAAATTTCCAGGTTAATCTCAAAATTTGTGAGATTTTTTTTTCTCAAATTGCCGACTTTTCAAGCTCAGAAATTTACACGATTTTCATAGAAAGCTGCTGAAGTTAATCTCAAAATTTTTGTTTTTCTCAAATTTACAACTTTTGTAGCTCAGAGAATTTCCACAATTTTTCTAGAAAATTTCTGATATTAATTTCAAAGTTTGAGATTTTTTTTCCAGACATGCACTCCTTTATTTTCTTTCTATGTGGGCCGTGATTCGCTGTTGTATGCTTCTCATGATACGACGCAGTATTTATTCCGGATTCTGCCTCGATGACTGGGAGTAAACGTCACATTCCCTTTCCTCGGACTGAGCGAAGATCGACGCCGTTTCTGGTTGAAGCTTCAGATTGTTGACGTCTGGCTGGAAAAGTGAAATTATGGAAACGTTCTCTTCTATCAAAGTCTAAAGATCTGTAAATTTTATCTCAGGAGTGCAAAATGCATAAAAATTTCCACAATGTTGAGTTAAATGTACAGGCTGTGAGGGAGAAACTAAGTACACCCTTTGATTTAATATCGGCTCCGCGTCGTTTCGACCATTTGCAAAATTCTACCTCCATTTTGTCCTTTAAGCACATGGGTTTTCAAAGCAGGTTCAAAATGTGTGGGTATATAAGCTAATTCATGGTAATTTCGAATTGCGCAACTTTTATGGAGTTAAATTGGGGCCAAAAAAAAATTTAAAACCTAAAAAAAATGTTTTCAAGTTTTTAACAGGAAAAAAGATTGAAAGAAAAAAGATAAGGAACTAAAATAAAGCAGATACTTTCTATGGAGCTAAAATGTGGGGCATAAAGTTTTAATGGAAAATAAAAAATTTTGAAGCTGAAAAATTATTTTGAAATTGGAAAGAAAATCTAAAACTGAAAACTATTTTTAACTGCAAAAAACGATTTGAGACCAAATAAAGTTAAAACTATGGAGCTAAAACGGTGCAGACACTTTGTAAACATGACGTTTCTCTTCAATGCCACTGTTTCTTTTTGCAGTAACTGTTTTATTTTTCGTATGTGAAATTTGGAATTAATTTTTTTTCAAATTAAAATTAATTGTTCAGTTTCAAACAGCTTTTTTTTAAAAATATTTTTAAGTTCTAAAATTTTTTTCTAATTTTTTATTTTTTTTGTTAAAAGAATTTCAGTTTTAACTATTATTTTTCAGTTTCGAACTTTTTTTTTCCCAATTAAAAATTATGTTTTTTTGTTAATTATGGCTCCAATTTTGCTCTGTACAATTTTGAAGACCATTGTGAAGAAAAAGACCAAAATTCTAAAATGGTGAATAGAATGTAAACAACCAGAAAGCTTCAGCATCATTTAGAGCAGCAAACATTTTATTGCTTTTTTGCAGTAAATATTTCAGTTTAGTCTTAAAAATGCCCCCAGAATAAACAGAGAACTCGGTAAATGTGCAGAAAACGTTTCCTGTAGGGCTAACTGTATGTCTGAACAGCTTCTTCTGTTAAAAATGTTATTTTAAGGCCAGTATGGATTCATTATTACAGCACAAATATATAGTTTTTAGTATTTCTTTGAAAACAGAATGAAAACGCAGTATGGAAAAGTTTGATAAAATTACAGATTTAATCACACCAAAGAGAAGAAATATTAAACATGCACAAACTCTATTTTTTAATATTTGTTCCATCTGAGAATAATCATTATTTTAAAGTATATTTTTGATTTATTCAATCTCCTATAGCTCGTTTTTTGAGTGTAGATCAGACGTTTTCATTGTAAGGTTGAAGATGATGAAGATTGCACTTCTCCCTCAACGCCGCCGCGCTTTCCGCTGGACTCCATCGGATCCGTAACGCTGGGAACGTTTCAGCTGCTGTAAATAATTTTGTACATCCAGCGAGTTTTCCGAGTGAACATGCCAGAGAATGCCTGCATGATTTGTCTAGGCTGTATTTCTGTAAATCCAGAGGCATGGAGCCGTAGGGCGGCGCCTGTCACTGCCTGCCGCTCGGACCTATCAACATGGCCGTCGCCTCTCCATTGTGCCTGCTAGAGAGCGTGAAGCTCTCACCTTTCAACAGAGCCGCCGCCAGTTGTTTGTTCATCGAATGTCTCCGCTTCCCATCTTTGATTCACATGTGAGGACTCACAGATTCACTACTGGGTTTCAGATGATGAAGCGCTGATGTCATCCAATGCAGATGGAGGGCAGGAAGTAAATTCAGCCCATTTGTTTCTGTTGATCCAACATCAAAATGTCTAAAGTCTGTGTCCTGTACAGTTGTTCCAACCGTTCTAATAAAGAGAAAGATAAACGTTATTTTGTGTTTCGAAGGTAGTTGGTCACAAGGGAGTTAATTTTAAAAAAGTTACTGAAAAAATGAAAAGTGGATCAACGATCTACCGCTAAAAACAGGAGGTGTGGAAACTAACAGTGCCAGAGTTTGCAGCGCCACTTTCTAACAGGTAACAATCGCATTGTTTAAATTGTATTTTCAGATGTTTAATTGGACAGTTAATTAATTTTAATTGGACAGTAAGACAAGCATTGATATGTAAGGTAAGATGGATTATTTTTTCGCCTTCGCGCGGTTGTCCTCAGAGCGCTAATGTTGTTAGCAGCTAGCTCAGTGCCAAGTCACGAACACGGGGTTTCTGTAGATCGGAGCGAATTGTTGACCTACATTGGACCTGAACCCAGCAGCGACTCAACATTAACGTACAAATCCAGCATGAATTTGGGTTTACAGAAGCTAAATAAATTATTTACCAGGAGATTCAAGCTCATAAAATAACATGGTTAGCTCGTTGTTAGCGCCTCGATGCAGGTAAATCCTCAAGATTATAAGAGAAGTCTTTTTTACCGAGATAATACGGATCATATCCTAAATATACGCTTATTTTTTCGAGATATCTCGGCTGTTCCAGCCTGTTAAGGGCATTAGCTACTTGCTGTGGTCCATTTTGCTTTGTTTTGAACTGGAGAAATCCACTTCCTGACCTCCATCTGAATTCATCCGGGTCATGTGTCTGGAGCCCAGCAATAAAAATTACTTGGACTCATTAGGAAATGTTTTGTTTTGTTTGTCACAAAAGAAAAGAAAGTACACCCTCATTTAGTTCTTCAGCTTTACGTTTAAGGAACCCGATCTGGTCTTTAGCAGGTTCTAAAGTTATTTATGTGCTGATAAGCTTCTTTATGGTGACGTGGAAGGGTTCAGTTAAAACAGTTTAGGATCTGTCTTGCATGTGTTTTTTTCCTTTCTTACACTACAGAAACACAAAATCTTACCAAGTATTTTTTGGTCTAATTCAGGGATGTCCAAAGTGTGGCGCGTGGGCCACATGTGGCCCCTTCTACTGATTGTGTGTGGCCCCCCCAACTACAATTCAAAAAAATGGCAAAATATGGTTTGTTTTTAATTATTGCACAATTATGACAAAATCTTAGAATGGAAAACATCTGATAGAAAGTATCCATCTTTTAATTGCATTAAATTTTCATTAATTTCACATCTTAGCGACATTTACTCAAATACAAACATTTACTCATTTAGCTGGGCTGAATACACCAAACGTGATCAAAAAGTGACTCAAATCTGTTTTTATGACTGAGATTAAAATGTTTTTAGTTTTTTCCACCAAAAAAGATTCTCAACTTTGACGCCTTTCTTTCAAACAGGCAAACATGTAAAATCCTTTTAAGTTTTTAACTAGAGCCAATATTGTTAGCTCTAGCTAATGGCATTCGCTCCTGCCAATCGTGTTGACTCCTGCTAGCGGTGTTAGCTGCTGTTAATGTTGTTAACTCTAGCTAACAGTGTTAGCTAATTCTAATAGTGTTAAATACTGTCAACAGCCTTAGCAGGTGTTAATGTTAATGGTCTTAGCACAGTGGTGCTAATGGTGATCTAGCAAACACCTTTAGCTAGAGCTAACGGTGTTATGTCTAGCTAACACTGTTAGCGCTCATTAATGTTGTTAGCTCCTGCTAATTGTGAACTAGAAACTAAAAAACCAGGTAAAATTTTGTGTTTTTTCAGTGTCTAAGCTGAAGTTGCCTGTTGTTGTGTCTGCTAATGTAAAACCACAGAGTTGAAGGAAGGAGGGTGTACTCTCTTTTCACCACGACTGTGATCTGTATTTTTATATAAGCATCATCTCTGAGCGTTGCAGCTCTGTCAGAGTTGGAATGTGTTGGTCTGTGCAGTAAACTCATCCGAACTGTGGTGAAGCCAAAGCGTTTTGGCAACGTGTTGTAAGTTTTTCTGTATTTATGTGAATCGTTTTCATTCGACTCTCCAAAGAGTTCGTGAAGTCCCCAGTGACTCTTCGGTAAACTGTCGTAAACGACGACTAAACCATTGAGGACGACGTCTGTAGTACGTACTGTATCTAACTCTGATAGTCTCATTGACGCCACACTGCTGTTTGAATGTTTTGTTTCTATTCCTTGGATGTGAAGAACATACTTATATATACATATATCTATATTTACATATCAATGTTTCTCTTTTTAATATGTTGGTGAACGAGACAATGTTGCTATCTTGTGTGTATCTGCATACTAAAACAGTATAGCACAGCACAGCCTTCAGTTTGTTTTTTTATTGGCATTTCCTGAAAAGACAATGAGCTTCTGGCACCTCGAGCGCGGCGGCTCAGTCAGGAAGTCTCTTTGAGATGGGAGACGGCTTTAAAGAGGCTGCAGACGTTAAATAAACCCAAACGAGCGTTGTGTGATTTATGCCTCCTCAGAGAAACGATGCTAAATATCTGCAGATGACACAAAGTTACCCCAACAAGACGATCACTCCACACCGAGGAAGTGTGGCCTCATAAAACTGTTTTATTGAACCAAGTGACACATTAGCA